AAAAATATCTGTATCAAAGTTCTAAACGCTTTACAACCAGCATGTAAACTGTTATACAATTTTCAGATGTGCTCAAACATTAAAGCGGTCCCCCGTTACTTACCTTAATTCAATCCATTCTACTCCTAAAATACAGAAGGCACAGTAAGGACTACTTTGTCTTATGCATTCTTCCTCTACTTGATAAAAGGTAGTGCTGCATTTGTTACTTCCTCTGCTGTCATTAGTGACAGCTACGGGAATGATAATTGTCTGGCTCATAGTGAGGCAATATCTATGGAGGCTCACACGGTCTTGCAAGATCCTCCCTAAACCTCATTGCTATACTCATGTGAGAGTACAGCACTAATGTGGGCACTTGTCAGATGAAGCAGACCAGCAGGAAGACCATGGCGGCGGCTGTTTAGGTAAGTAAAACTCACCTTCCACTGCACCCCACAGCCACCAAGTAGTAAAGTCAGCACCGGGAGTCTTTTCAAATTATGCAAAATCCCCAGAGGGTGACAGAACCGCTTTGAAGAACTTTAATCAGTAGAGAATTAAAGTACTGTCCTAAACAATAAGCTGCACGGTCTACTAACATGTTTCATGTTCCATATTGAACTAGTAAAGAGGGGTGAATAATAGGAAAAAGTAAATGGAGAAGAGAAAGCAGAAATAAATTGCAGGGATCAGAGTAGCAATTTCCGAAAAAATGTGGAGTCAGACAAACCTGAGAGAAGTATTAGACAAGATGTGTTAAGGAAAACAAGTTGTTGTTTTTTTGTTTTTTTTAAAACACCTTTCATTGACTTTGGACAATACATTAATTTCACACTGGTTTTATTGTGGATGTAAGATGTAAAGAGAATTATAGTACATTATACAGTATTAATGTTTGACAAATTGAAAACAACCACCATTAAACATAGAACGTGTTGCCCCTCCCTGCGCCCACCTGATCTTGTTCTTGTGAGGTGGATATAAGCAAGTAATTATACAAAAGGTGGTGTGCCCTCCAGCACTCTGTGAAGATACCACGGTTTTCAAACAACCTCTTTAGTGTGTCCCTTGTCCATGTCTCTTGTGAGTAAAAGGGACACTCCAGGCACCAATACAACTTTAATGCATTTAATAGACTTTGGTTTCATTACAATGCTGTATTTTTTACAATTAAAATTAAATATTTTGCAGAATTCTGCACCTGCCTCCTTGGCCACACTGCTCATGCCAGAAAGACTTCCTTATCAATGGTATGCACACAGTCTCAGCCATAATAGCACTGAGCAATTCACAACCTATTCTAACCAGGCTGCAGACAGTCAGAAAAACCACTAACATGTGGTGATATCCTTACTATATGCCTCCCTGTGTGTCCTCTCCTTTTAATGCAGGTTGCTTTGTAGTTCAGATCATTCAGTATTGTCGGTGGCTGAGCAGTGTTCATACCTTTGATAAGGAAGTCATTTCCTGGAGTGAGAGGGTGTGGCTAAGGAGGAAGGCTTATGGTGCAGCATTCTGCAAAACATTTATTTCTTTTATAATTCTTAATTTTTTTGATTGCATAGATATACAGAGAGACTTGCTCAGCCACAATAGCCTTTGCAAGCACAGAGTGTCACATATGGAACATTTACATGGCTTTGATAAAGTTGCACATTTTTGAATAGTAAGATTAATACAGGCTAGATATGTATGTCCTGGTAGTCAAACTGCACTTGTATTGCTAAGTTAGATAGATAAACTGGACATGAGGAATATGTTAAGTAAAAGAGTAAACACGAGTAATAGAACATGAGTAGTACCCAGGGCCGGATTAAGAGCACACTGGGCCTGGTGCTGACAATTATGATGGGCCTAATTACGGAATCTTATTGACCAAAAACACTAAAACAGTCATTCCTCCCAAGCGTCATGAGATGGTGCTGGAGGGAAACTCATAGGATGCAGCTATAAGAAAAAACATACTCTATGCTAATCTCTCTCTAATTTATGCTTTCATCTTTCAAGTAAATCCATACCCCCTAACAACAGTGTCCAGTGAAGCAGGAAGTCAATGGGCGGGGTAAAAGGGTGTGCCACTGGCGCGAATCACGTGACAAGACCTGCCAAAAGGGGTGAACATGCCCAAAAAGGGGGCATGTCTGTCCAAAGAATTGGAAGGTCAGCCTGGCATGAATGCATGTCAGGCTGCCCGCCAATCCTGCAGGCTGTCCAACTAAGGGCATACTATGCAGGCAGCACCCTGAGCTTGACATACATGCATCTAATGATGTGCTCACTCCATTCTTTCTAAGGACTGTCCCCTAGCACTCGCTGGTCCACTTGTCTCCTTACCTTCTTACTAGCAGGCAGAAGCTCCTGGTATATTGTCTGAGACAGAGAAAAGGTGTCTGTAGTGAGTGTAGAAGAAAGGGGACATGCCACAGTGTTAGAGAGACCAAAGTCAGCATTACCTAAACTAATTTTATTGTCAGCCAGTCCACACAAGTTTTGTTCCCATACATCCCTCTTAAGCTTACAAACTTGAAGGGACACTATAGTCACTAGAACAACTACAGCTTGTCGTATTTGTTCTGATGAGTAGAATCATTCCATTCAGGCCTTTTGCAGTAAACACTGTCTTTTCAGAGAAAATAACTCCACTGGCCGCTCCTTAGATGGCTGCTAGAGGTGCTTCCTGGGGGCAGTACTGCCTAGTGTGCAGCACTGCCATTCAGTGTCTCCACCCTCTGCATGCAGACACTGAACTTTCCTCATAGAGATGCATTGATTAAATTTATCTTTATGTGGAGATGCTGATTGGCCAGGGCTGGCTTTGCCCCTGATCTGCCTAGTTGACAGTCTCAGCCAAACCTATGGGGAAGTATTGTTATTTGCTCAGACCACCACTTCTGATGATGTCAGCAGACAGTCAGTTCAGAGGCAGAGCCAGCAGCTGCAGACTTGAATACAAGTTATATTTTACTATACTTAGGGAGGCAAGGGGCCAGGGTGGTGGTTTTAACATAATAGGGTCAGAAATACATGATTGTGTTTCTGACCCTATAGTGCTCTTTTAAGCAAGAGTATGTGAAGAGTAGTTTGGGTTGCCACCTTTCTTGGAAAAAATACCAGCCTTAATCATTTGTATAATCACAAGGAGTGACATCAGAAAAAATTCTGTAAAATCACCAACAAACTACTCACAGATTGATTCTGCTGTATAGATGGATTGCTACCAGTGTCTCAGTCTCGCAAGTCACCCAATGTCTCAGTGTTCTATGTATCACAGTGTCAGTGTCCCCATGTCGCCCAGTCCCCTAGTCTCCCAGTGTCTGTGTCCCCATTTCTCCCAATGTCCCAATGTCTCTGTGTGTCCCCATGTCACTAGGACATGGGGACACAGACATTTAGGGAAACTGGGAGAAATGGGGACACTGAGACACTAGGGACACAGACACTGGGAGATTTGGGGACACTGAGTCACTAGGGACACAGAGAAATGGGAACACAGACACTGGGAGACTAGAGGACACTGGTTGGGAGACAGACATTTGGGGACACTGGGAGACATGGGACAGTTGTGGACATAGACATGGGGACCCTGGGACATATAGGGACACTAGGCTCACGGAGACACTAGGAACACAGACACAGGGAGACATGGGGACACTAAGACACTAGGGACACAGACACGGGGACACAGATACTGGGAGACTAGGGGACACTGGGAGACTTCGGGGCACTGGCTGGGAGACAGACACTTGGGGACACTGGGAGACATCGGGACAGTTGTGGACATAGACATGGGGACACTGAGATATATAGGGACACTGGGCACAGTGAGAAACATGGGACACAGACACTGGGAGACTTGGGGACACAGACTCTAGCAACACTGGATGGGGGACATGGGGACACTGGGAGAAATGTCTCCGTGTCCCAATGTCTCAGTGTCTCCCAATGTCCCTATGTCTCACAGCATCCCTATGTGTCTGTGTCCCCATGTTTTCCAGTGTCCCCAAGTGTCTCAGTGTCCCCCTGTTTTCCTGTGTCTCAGTGTTTCCAGGTCTCCCAGTGTCTGTGTCCCCTAGAGTCTCGGTGTCCCCAGGTCTCCCAGTGTCTGTGTCCCCTAGTGTCTCAGTGTCCCCATGTGTCCCTGCTGCCTTTCCCCCCATCCCTCACTTACCTGAGCTGTAGAGCCTGTCTGGACTCTCTGTGCTGTGTAGCTGCTCCCCCGCGGATCAGTGAGTAGTAGAGAGAGGCAGGGAGGGATATGCTGTAACTTCCTATCCCTGCCTCTCTTCACACACAGTGACCCCTACTGGCCGGTGCTGGTATTGCAGAGTAATCTCCATTTATTCTGAGAAAAATACCTGTATTTGTATTGCCGGTATTACTGCAATACCGTCATGGCCAGGCAGCCTTAAATACCGCCTGTGCCAGTAAAATACCAGTCAGGTGGCAAACCTAAGAGTAGTGTGTAAAAAAAAAAAAAATATATAGATATATATATAAATAAATTTTTTTTTTTTTTTTTTTTACATGGGCCTATTCCATGGGCTTGGGCTTGGGCTTGGGCCTGGAGCTGCAGCTCCATCAGCCCCTATGTTAATCTGGCCCTGGTAGTACCATGGGATGAGGAATTGCTTAAGGATGTGGGTTGCAAAACGTAAACCGAAGGAGCAAAAGAAACTTAGACAAGACGACATGATGCCTATAAGAGCTCATACAGCTATGGTGGCTGAACATGCAGGAAAGTCCCGTATGATGAACTGTGTGAGTGTCGTGGGTTGTAACTGATTGTCAACCTACACCCAAGGCAGGGAAGCATGAGTCCTTGGCACGAAGGGTTAGAAAGGTAGCAGCCCCAGAGTTGGAACGCATGGCCATCCTCCCGCCACAAGCCTGCAACCTCAAGCCACAGACCTGGGACCTTTGGCCAAGTCCTTACCCGCAAGGGTTAGATGGGAGGTCCGGGTGGCCGTCACCCCCGTATGCGAGTTGTCTTGAGACCATGTGGCCGGTGTTGTGGGGCTGTGCCACGGTTGACTTTTGGCCCAGGGGAGCCAGTAGCTAGTGTCATCTGTGCTTTCTCGAAGTGAGTTTCTAGCAGGGGCACGTACGCTGTCCGGCGGTCACCCGTCCGATCCTCCTCCTGCTTTTGGTGCAGCATAGCCCTTTGCCATGCTTCCAGTGAGGCCCAGAAACAGGTGAAAACCTCATCTAACCATTGCATAAAAGGGATATTGGGGTTGGAATGGTTCCATCCAGTTTGCTGTGTTGAGAGCGTCTGCGCTATTTTGCGTGGCCACACTGCAGGCAGGTGCTATTTCCACTACTCACGGTGGTGCTTCGTGCGAGCCAGTGGGGTCCGGGACAACACAGTAGTATGCTCCCCGATGCCCATTTCATCCCACATAAATATAAATCAGAAATCAAGACCTACCTGAGATGGAGCAAACCTTAATATGGCTGCTTTTATGGTGTGACATGTCTCTGGAGCTCCATTGGTGGTAAGTGCTGATGTCTGCTGCAGCATGTGGACCTCTTCCTCCTTGCCACGGCATTCAGAAGTGGATCTGTGGGAGGAAGGCCAGGTATGTGTATGGGCCGTGGCACACATATGCGTCAGGTGCCATTTTAACTTAGGCTCTGCTCACAAGTGTTTTTTTTTAACCCTTGCAGTGACATTCATTGTATAAGACCACCCCCAATTTTAGACAAACCCCCCCCCCCCCACCCCAAAAAAACGACACAGTCTTATACATGGAAAAATACAGTCTATGAAGATGCAATTAGATAGCACAGCAGTTTTTTTCCCCCCCTACAGCTGAAAATTAATTTGAAATTTCCAATATGCAACTGCAACAGTCACACGGACTTCCCTCGCAATAACTACACTAGGACACAAAGAACGACAGAATGTGACTGAAAAGCCATGAGTCATACAGTATACGCAGAAAGGCATTCTCTCACTGCAAGGCCACCCAAGTTTAGAAAACAATTAATAATTAAGGATTGGGGGAGTAAAACAAAAAAAACCCAAAAACTATTAAGCTTAACAAATGGCCAGAGAGTTTTTTTCATTAGTACTTTAATAGAATCCTAGTGACATTTTTAGGCAGAGATTTAGTTAACATTCCAGATTTACAAATTCTATAAAATTGTGATGATCATAACCTCACCATCATGGAGTAAAATGTGAGGTAAACCCATTTTTTTCAATGATTTATGAAGCTTTGGAATAGAACATGACGGATGGCCAACTGTGCACGGGCAAGAAGTTGACACTGTGGGGTTTAATGATTAATCTCTGAATGTGAATGGCAAAATTTAAGCATAAATAGGTGACTTGAAGAAATTAGGGAAATAAGTTCTACATTTGGAGGTTTTTACACAAAAACCCCCCCAAAAAACACAACACACTTTTGTTGACATCTACTTGTAAAAATTCAATGAGCGTCAAAGTGGTCATGGTACCACTGGTTATCCCTTCCGGCTCAATCATCATCAGTGTGTCATTAGCCAAACGTTCCAGGCTGGCTACAATGTGGACCTCTTCCTCCATGCAGTACACAGCATGCTGGCAACAGACAGACAATTGTGATATGCCCCCACGTCTCCCTGACATCCATCCCCCTCCAGCTAGACAGTGAGAGGGACGGAAGGAAGCGGTAATAGATCGGGCTAATAGAATTTGGCACTGGAACAGAGGCAGGTTTTAGCACGAAGAGGGAAAGGTTAAACTGACCAAAAACAGTTTTTCTTGAAACACTGGTTTACGGTTTGAGTAGCCCTCTTACATACATGCCATTAATTAGCAGAAAGCAGATGTCCGTTCCATACTCCACATTTCAGGGCTTTATGTGTGAGGAGTAGCCAGTCTTAATTGTACTTTAAAAAAATGGGTACTTTTATTAAACAATTGAGTAACACTTTCCTAGTTTCCTAATTGACGGAGCTAATAGAAGAGGGAAGAATGCTCTGCTAAAGCACGCCTTCCACTTCTTTCCCGTAGTCATAGGAAGCCTTAATAAGCCCAGAGAGCTCGCTCACTATACCTTGGGTCCCCGGGCTCCTCTGGTCCTGGCCTCCTCTACTGGGTACCCCCCACCACTTCAATGAGAAGTCTATTTGGCCTGCAAAGGCTGCAGCCATATTAGCTGTTTTCATTGGGGTATATCTGCTAAATAGTGATTTTGTAAATATTTTCCATGTGGAGTGTATTTTTTTTGTTTTTTTCATGGCTCAGTGTCCCTGGCTTAGTTTGATAATTACTCATGATCGAAGTATGTTTGAAGTAGTTTTCCCATTTTGGGACTATTTTTTCCCAATGCAGGTAATTTGGCCAAAAAACATGCAGGTTACTAATCAATTCATTGTCTAGTGAATACACCCCATATAATTTCTGCAAAGATACCCTGTTATAATTGTAACTGGTCCCCAGACAAGTAATATGTAATATACGCGCACGCACACGCACATGCGCAATACCAAGGAATAAAAAGACCAACTAACAGCATAAATTACAAAACATAAACCATGAACAAACCAGCAGTGGTTTCTATAAAGATTTATTGATGTATGATCATGTCACAGGTAAAAGACAAGTTATATGCAGATAAGATTAGTGCTCCATCCTGTCACACGCAAATAGTAAAATATTTCCTACATGTGTATTCATTTAAACATGCTGCTGGCATGACTTAAACATGTCCAACTAAAGCATCACTCATAAAAATATCATGTTATTCTTTAGGCGCCAAAAGATTCCTGCGACAGTGCATACTACCAGAAGCAGTGACCTGATGAATCATTCTGCGCACCCCTCGGGGTCTCAAATAGTTAAAGGCATGTGAATAAGATGCAAACAATACTAAAATACAAATACGAAAAATAAAATAAAAAGTACCACTAACAAATGTTTTTAAATCTTAACTTCCCACATAAAAGTTAATCAGAGATTGTCATTCGGTAAATAATGAATCTAATTATATTTATCTAGTTTTTAAAAGGTTAAGGCATTACAAACATTTTTTTTTTGTTTTAAAATCAAATGTTTAGCAAAAAGAAAAGCAAACAATATAAGAAAAAAAAACAAACAAAAAAACAAAACAAAATAGGAACAGTGGTAACAAGAGTTCCAGTTAAAGTAAATATAAAGGAGAAATTAAAACCAAGTTCTTAGGAGTCTCAGGAACTAAACAGGGTTGTATGGAGGAGGTGGGTCTTTCTCCTTGTCCTGCATTTTCACAGCCATATCGTATGTGGGAAGGACATACTGTCAACAAAACAACATGGAATTAGTTTTATATTGTAGCCAACACGTAAGTAATGCAATTAAATAAAAAATAAAAAAAAAGTGACAAAAAACCCAAAAAACACTTCAGAAAACCCTTGGTTGTAATCTAACGTAGCATAACCAGCTTTAACTGGAACAATTTTCAGTTCAATGCTTCCTCATTCTTGGTAGAAAGTGCTGGAGCAAGAATTGTGCACACCTGTCAATAAGCGGTCATCTGCTTATTGTACGAATAACATCAGATAAGTGCTAGTTCCATAAACCGCTGCTGGACATTTGTTAAGATCAGATCCTTTATAGGAATACGAGAGGCTCCTGATTCTTTAAGGTTGGGCTGGGGTGGTCAGCTTAATGAACTATAGATCATGTTTTTAAAATGGAGGTCACTTCCAGTCTGGGTTGTTCATTTAAGCATAATAAAATGGAAGGAGAAAGGGTAAGTTTTGTAATTACTTCTACGTATGTAATGGATGCAAACGCCAAATGAAGTTTCTTAAGTGCTCCAAAATGTCCTTTTCACAGTAATGTTCTTTTTTTTGTAATTGGTGTATGAATTACAATCAACACGAATAAAAGGGACAAAAAAATTGCTAAAGCACGTTTCATTCACTCTGCTTGCATACATTTAATATGACGATTCAATGCGAAGAAGAAGAAAAGCAACGCCTATGATCTGTCAATGGAATGTTCATAACTCTGAGCCTGTGAGTGAGGTTGGAAAACTATCAGCAATTAACCCCTTAAGGACCAAACTTCTGGAATAAAAGGGAATCATGACATGTCACACATGTCATGTGTCCTTAAAGGGTTAAACAACATGGAAATGCCCATCTGTCATAGTCCTGGAAATCGTTATTTAAAGGTATAATGAGCACAAAAACGAAAACCACATCATCTTAATGTAGTGGTTTGGAGCACAGATGCAGCCCCTCTTCTCTAACAATTTCAAATCTTGCCATTTCTGAGTACCGGCAATATTTACATTTGGTCAAAAACACTCCCCGAGCATTGTTCAATGCAAAACTCTCGTCATTTTGCAATGGGTGTCCAGAATGTTACCTTCTGAGGTGCTTCAAAAGCTGGGTACACTGCAATTTCAGGCATGTTTCTGTTGTTTATGTATTTGTAGCAGTTCCACACACAGTTGATTAGATACGCCTGAAAGACACAAATGCTAGTTAATAAAAAATAAACAATAAAAATAAACAAATAAAAGCCTTGAATAGGCATTTCTTCATCTAAAAAGGAGTTTAAAAAAATAGCTTTCAGTATTGAAGTTGAAAAACACAAGCCTCTTAAGTTAGCAATAACGAGAGATTGGGAGCGCCCATGATGGTGCTAAACATTTTCTAAAAACAGAAAAGCACTGTGCTTCCTATCTTCAGAGCAGTGGATTTTATTTGTCTGGATTACGCACAAATTAAATGAATCTTTACAACACAAAGTTCAAACTAGCCGTGGAATGCTGCGGAACCAGCTTCACATGCTGATAGATTACATGAAGCTACCAGAGAATAATGAAAAGGCCAGTTTTGCTTCCCCCACAATAAATTGTTTACTTACAGATCAATATTTTAAGCTACCTTCGGAAAACAAAATTACAATAAAAGACTGGCCTATTTACATTTGAAAATAAACTAGAGAACATTTGTAAGCAGAGATAATAAACATTGGTGATAAAACCAAAACTTTTTTTCTTCTTAAATAAGTATGTTTGTCTAAGACTAACACTGGAGATGTCAAATACCCACAAGCGCTTTTTAATTTTGCTAGTGAATGTAGTATACTTGTCAGACTTATTATAATATGAACCTTACTTGCTTAAACAATTTAACTTGAAGTCAGAATGTCTATGGAAATTTGATGGACACTCAAGGTACCAAAACAACTTGGGTTCCTTGCATAGATTAAACTGCAAGGTGGTTTATGATCACCAAATCCAGAGTGTATTGCAATTTGGTCATATTGGTCATATTGCAAACCTCACTCAAGAGATCATGGAAGCATGTTTAATGCTACCCCTCCCATGTGAACAGGTACCACAATGGCTCTTTCACTCTGTTGCACAAAATACTACATTTTGGGTGCAGCAGGAAAACAAAACAAAACAAAACAAAACAAAAACAAAAAGGGGGAGAAACAATAGAAACTATAATAATAATTTGCAATTTTTAAAGCACCTTTCTCCCTGTGAGATTTTATGTCAGGCTTGGGCTTTCTAGAAAACAGATTGTTGGAGAATGAAGACTTTTAAACACAATGGCTGAATCAGTATGCCAAGGAGCTAGAACACAGGACTCTCAAAACACCACACTATACCCCTGAATTCAGAAGCACTGGAATGTGTCCAGTATTTGCTGAAATGTTTAAGAAAAAAAAAAAAAAAAAAAAAAGATTACTTTATATTAGTACGCAAAATAAAAAGGACTTCAGTAGAGCCAGATAATTAAACATATAGCTCATCTGAGAAGTCCTACTAAGAGAAATCACCTCATCCTAAAGGAGATAAAAGAGCAGACTTACCTTTAGGAGAATGACAAATGTACCCACAAACACCACAAAGAAGAGCAGCAAGCTGGAATCCATTGCAAGCATGTCTTCTTTGTAAGGAAACTCTGGCTGCAAAATGAGAAATACGAAGTTTATTTTTTGTGGCATTGAAAGAAAAAAAAAATAACTCAGACACTAACATGGAATAACAGGAATAAATATGTCAGTAAACCATATTAAAGGGTAACTATAGTGCTAAGAATACACAGCTGAAAGGTGGACCTGACGCACATGGGCGGTGAGCACCACGATTGCATTAGCCCTTCCCCGTAGAAAAGCATTGAATCAATGCTTTCCTATGGGGTTTGCGCAGACGCTGGACGTCCTGATGCAACGCACGTTACATTTGTTTTTTTTTTGTAAGCATGACCTAGCCAATGTCCTCAAAATAAGAGGTCACTTAAAGGGAAACTCCAGTGCCAGGAAAACAATCCGTTTTCCTGGCACTGCAGGTCCCCTCTCCCTCCCACCCCCCAATCCCTGGTTGCTGAAGGGGTGAAAAGCCCTTCAGCAACTTACCAGAGGCAGCGACATGTCCCACGTCGCTACATCTTCCTCCGCCGCCGCTCCTCCTCAGTTTTACGTCGGCCGGTAGGCGAGACTGATCCCGCCCACCGGCCAGGGAGATCTAATGCGCATGCTTTTCAATGCTTTCCTATGGGGAATTGAGTGACGCTGGAGGTCCTCACATAGTGTGAGGATGTCCAGCGACACTCTAGCACAGATTTTCTGTGCTATAGAGCAGGAAGTGCCCTCTAGTGGCTGTCTAGTAGACAGCCACTAAGGGAGGACTTAACCCTGCAAGGTAATTATTGCAGTTTATAAAAAAAAAAAAAGCAAAAAAAAAACTGCAATAATTACACTTGCAGGGTTAAGAGTAGTGGGAGTTGGCACCTAGACCACTCTAATGGGCAGAAGTGGTCTGGGTGCCTGGAGAGTCTCTTTAAACATTTTTCGCCAAGTCTCAATTTATACAGAGAAATGTATCCAGATTTGCATGGCAAAAGAAGAAACCAAGACTTTCCTTCAAATCAGCAAGCATTTTGGGTATTCCACTATGACACCAAGTCCTGGTGAAACACTATTTGGGCCCCTGTTGGTTTCTCCTTTTATTCTGTTGCTTCTTTGCCTATGCAGGAAAGATCCAGGAATCAAGTAGGGTATTTAACCCTCTCCTTGAAAGTGTTTTTTACCCAGAGCCAGGCAAAGAGGCTCTGATATATGTGAGTGCACTAATTAGGGGGGTTAACATAAAATCTCATAAGCAGTATGCACTATAGATATGTGCATTTTTTTAATATTTTTTTAAAGATATGGAAGGATTGAATGCATTTATAAGTACTTTCATTTTTTTCAATTATTTCAAAAATATTTTCTAATGCCCCAGGAGTGGCACTTTATGGTTGATTCACTTTTATGAAGTTACTAGTGCAACACTAAAACTGGTTAACAAAGACTAAGATTTGCAATTCCTCTGTCAAGGCTCCACAGTTCCATATTTTGTATATATATTCCAAAAAGCTTTGCAGTATTTACTTTTAGGAACAGACTCACATCCTGTTTAATGATTTACATACACCCACAGCATTGTGATTTGAATACCTCACTACATAGCCACGGCCTTTCCTTTACATGTCCCTGTATGGTCAATGCAGCTCTAAAAAAGGTAAATTCAAAGAACCAGTGTCTATTAGTAAAAGAAATATACAGATGTTCTGAATGTTATACGTAAAACTGCATCCAAACAGCAATTTATTTTCGTATGACAGTTTTTCTGTAAAAAATGTAGAAACACTTGCAACTTTAGACCAACCTGTGGGAGCCCACTCCTAAGAGAAATTTCTGACAACGAAAATATGGAGGGGGTGGTTGTAGGAGCAGTGTCTGGTTGGTGAGAGAGCAGCCCAGGCTGCTAGCGGCTGACCTGGCTACAAAGAGTTTTAAAAACTAGGAATAAAGCTGTATGAACAAGTCATTAAAGTGAACCTGTTGTGAGACCAAATCAGCCCCAAATACATTGAATGCATCATGCATCTGTAAGATTTTGAGGGATCTCTCACTGTACCCCCATCCAGAGCTGCCATTTACTTTTTTTTGTGTGTGTTGGACTTTATATAAACACCCATCACCGGTCTGCCATGCTCCACCTGGTCTTTCATTTGCCCAGTTTGGAGACACTTTAACGAGCAGGGCAAACCTCCTGTGTGGCCCCGACAGGGCTTCATTGCCAGCATCTGAACACATGTGGGAGGTTCTCTGCTCAACCTGGTCAGTCAAAGCATTGGCATGACATCTGTAAAAGATTTGACTGAGAAGTGGTAGAAAGACCTATTTTTAAATACGTTATTCTCCCAATCTTTACATTTCCTAGCAAAACAGCTAGCACAATGTATGCATGATATTTTAAGCTCTTTAAAATGAGTACTATTGTTGCACCGTGACAGGTGCCTTTTTAAAGGAACATTACAAGCACCTCTACAGTACAAACAGCAAATAAAAAAGATAGGGTGTTTTAAAACCAGTAATGTTCCATGTGGCATATTTTCACACATTTGTACTTTTACCTTTTAAATGGTTGACTTTACCTTGTGCTGTATTCAAAACACCATTACAGGTTGTTTTATGAGAATGTATAAATTTAACTCGAATATCAGTTTCTTAATCAGGAACATGACATGGTTACGTTGAAATTATTTATTACAATTATCACAAAACTTACCAGTTGCTCCAAATAGTCTTTAATTCCAGGCAGGTATGTGAGAGAACTGATTGCAAGAAGACACGTGAGAGCAAAATCAAAGAGCTGTGCGCAAAAGAATGGAATCAACCAGCCTCCTCGATGCTATGGGAATAAATGAGAGGGAGCAGTTTTTGTTACAGATGCTTTTCATCCATGTACACACAATAACACAAAATCAAAAACAAGAAAAAAATCCTACAAATGAGTTTTCCTTTTTATTTTATTTTTTTAATTGTTTGAGTTTTACAAAATTCAAGTTTACTATGTAGGCATTGCAGGCAAATCAAGGTTTTGTAAAATATAATAGCAGAAGTGAAACAGAAAGAACTTGCTGAATTGGACACAATAGGACTGCAGGAGAAATTGCAACATCAACTATGTTGCCTCGCACAAGTTTAGCTCAACAAAGTACAAAAGTAATGAATAGAATGAAAATGTAAACCGATATATCTGTAAGAATACTATTGTAAAGAAGACTACAGAAAGTAGCCTTAGTAGAGGGGTGAAAAGATTTATGTGAGATCTGAATAATAATGGGTTCGTGCAAAGTGTTGAAAATAAGAAGTGAAATTTAAAGGAGAAGCATGGGATTAAAATTTAAACAAATCTTTTTTTTTGAGAAATGCATCTACATTAGAGGAGAATTGTAACATCCCAAGATTTGTAGTATGTTTATTAATCCCTATGTTTAACTAATATGTACTTGTGAAGTTAAAAAAGAGTGGATTCAGAAGAGCAGCAGTAGAGGTGAAGGACTACAAGCGGCAGTACACACAGGCAATATGCCACAACCTCTACAATAAGTTACAGTGGTGCTGGTGCTTGGAAGGAACAGATTTGTTTAAGGAGGAATTATCGCTACTCACTGTGATTGCTCCATAAACCAACATGGAGCTCATGGTGAACATAAGAAGGGAGATGGCGAAGAGGACACATGCATTCTCTGCAAAAACAAAAAACATTCACATTGCATATTTAGTACAGTAGGAACATAATAAACACAAAATACCATATCACTGTAATCAAATAGATATAAATTCAAAAGATTTTTCCCCCCAAAATATGATTAAGGGAATACTCCAAACACCTAAAGCATGTTAGCTTGCCAAAGGGCTTTATGTGCGAATAGCGTGTCCTTTTTTTATTCCACGTTTACAAAAAGTGCAATTTCCAATAAAAAAATTTGGCAATTTTATAAAATTAACCTTTTTACACCAGTGGTACTCTACAAGCGATGTATTTTTTATTTGGAAGGGAGATAGAGAGTCTCCTTGGACACATTCTTAGCCTTTTTAAACGCTAATTCATGGGGGATTAAATTTACATCAGAAATCAGCACTCAGGAAGTACACTTTTTAGATGTAAGAATTTTTATCGAGACCAATTCAATTAAAACTAATACTTTTTTTAAAACGGTTGATATAAATAGCTACATAGATAACAATAGCTGTCACTTTAAATCGTGGTTATCAAATACCCCTAAGGGACATTTATCAGATTAAAAAGAAACTGCACAGAGGAAGAAACTATTATGGAACAGTCAACTATTTAAAAAAAAAAAAAACATTTAAAAATGGATATAAGAGAGACAATGTGAAAAAACAATTTAGAGAAGTACAAATGAAACCGACACTCCCAGAGTCATATTTTTTGCAAGATCCTCAATAGACATTGGCACATTCTGAGACAAAATGAGAATCTCCGTATATACATGGTAGATAAACCAAAAATGGTGTATAGGGGAGCCAATTATTTTAAAAATGTTTGAACTAAGATCTTAAAGGATTTTTTTAATTGTGGAAAGTGTAAAGCTTGCAAAACAACTAAAATCACCAAAAAGACAGAAGTTTTATTTAAATGTAACTAAAAAGGAATATAACGTTAAGCATTTTATCACTTGCCATTCTAATAATGTGATTTATCTTTTGACGTGACTGTGGACTACAATACGTAGTAAGAACCATGAGGCCTTTAAAAATTAGAATAAGTGAGCACCTTAGAAACATACAGAATAAAGTACAAAATCACTAACTATTCACATAATGAAATACACAATGGTGAAGGTAAATGTCTGCACTTTAGGGGAATCCAGAAAATAAAAAAAACCTTAAAGATCCTAAACAAAGCAGAAATGAAGTGGATCTTTGATTTGGAGACCCAAATGAATTAAATCTAGATTTTGACATGTATAATTATATATAATTTTTAGGATTTTTAATGTTTATACATAGAGGTTTTTACATATTTATCTTGTTTTTATGCTTCCCTTTTATCTTATACTTTTATGGGCTATTATATTGTATGAATTCTCATGTATATAACTACTTTTTCCTTAAACCATATGAATGATGATTTACTGGTGGGAACTGAGATCGCATGAATTACAAGCACGATATACAGAAGACGGCATGAAGTGGAACGCATGAATGAGAATAAAATGGCTGCTGAAACGCATAGAACGAACCTGGAAATGACGTTCCACGATCTTGCGAGCGCTGAGATACGCTCGTCAAGAGATGAACTACCATGGGATTGGTTAATAGCACTAAGGGGGCTGGTCTTTAACACCTATTTTTGGTGCCAATAATGGTTTAAATAGTTGGTATGTACCTGAGGAAGACGAATTTTGTATCGTTGAAACGCATTATGTTCTTAACTACTGTGTGGCACTCCAGTAGTTTGAATGTAAGATTTTATATTACTCTTCAATAAATGTTTACTATTTTATTCTAACTGGTGTTGCCTTTCCTATGCTTTTTGCCTTTGAGGATCAAGCTACCAATACGTGTGGATCTATTGTGCCATTTAAAGCTGCACTACCGCATTATGCAAAGCTGTACTACCTGAGCCAGTTTATTATAACAGGCTCAGAAAAATGTGAGTTGGACCACATAAGAATTATTAGACACCACAAAAGAAATAACTGCAACATTGCCCTGTGAGAGTCTCTACCTTTTGTTTTACTTTTTAGGAATATCTAAACTGTTATCTCCATTGGGGTATATCATTTTTTTATTTCTCCACCTATTTCACATTAATACATACATGTATACTGCACTGCATGTATTAAGTAATGTGATAAACACCTATAAGAGTCTCTTGGCTGCACTCTTTCCTGTGCCTTTTGCAACTTTTTTACACCCCCTGGTTGTCAGTCAACTATTCCTGTTACTTCCTAGTTTGTTTAGCTCAGTGGAACTAAACCCAAGAGGCAGAAATTGCCCAGAGCACCTGCCTTGCATAGACTTCTCATTGAGTTGCAAAGGCTGGAGACGAGAGATCTGTAGATTTTGCAATCCGTTTATAGATATACCCCAATTAATCCAAAATTAAATTAATGCATGTTCTCACTTGTTAATCTACTAAACAGTGATTTATTTTTTGTATTTGGGGTCCAGTGTGTCCCTTTAATATAGAAATGTGGATAAACATTGCCATCAAAAGCATTGGATCTCCTTGTTTCATTCACATTTAATAATTAGGCAGAGGCAGCTTTCTTCATTCACTAATTATCACAATCTGTTCTCCAGATATGGTTTTCGATCATTTAACATCTGCTCAATAAACATGACCTGCAAATGCCTTGATTCTTTATCCAACCTGACCTGTGATTCACAGGAATAAACAGCATTCAGTTAGGAAACCCTGTAATATTAAGGGGAGTTAAACCCAGCCTAATGCTTCATCTCAAAATGACTGATCAGCAAAAAGATATAGTGGAGATTATTCAGGGATTTATTCACTAAATTTATTCAGCATAAATCTGTTTTGACAAATTCATTGTCTATAATAGAGTTACAGGCTTGGCTGGTTTTAGTTGACATTTTGCAATTCTGATTTAATTTGACTACAATTCAGAGTTTAGTGAATCAAGCCATCCCCATGTAAGATCCTGGCCTTTTTGATGCTGGTACCATGATCATCAAAGTGACTTGCTCAGTCTCTCACGCAATTCCTCGTTACTGGTTGTAGACATCTTGTGATAGTCTTCCATATGGATCAAACCCACTGAGCATGCAAAAATTATCCACATTTAAATTGCATTACATTGAGTAATAACACCATCACTGTTTATCAATCATTCATCCCCGCTCCCGTATTATCTAAAAAAAAAATAAAAAAATTTATATATAATTTTTTTTTTCTTTCTTTTTTTTAAATATATCTATCTCCTCTGCAAAAGGTGTTCTTTTTCACGACTCACCGGCCACTCTCTCTGTGCCATAGTAGTTTCCGATGACTTCATACTGAATATCAACTGATGACATGGTATCAGGATGGGTAACTTTCACGGTGAGAAGAATGCCAAACAGCAAGTACACCACCTATAAAACAAAACCATGAACATAAGTCAATGGCCATATTATGGTAAATAACATCAATGCCAAACATACATACTGATTTTGCGGATCCTCAAGTTAGAAATAGGCATGATTATGCAGGGTGGAAAGAATCACTTCTAATAAGTGGCTTATGTCTGCAACAGGAAACCTTGACAGTGGGTTTATTTCATAGGTTAAAGGGTCACGACCAGGCTGAGTTGACATCCTTTTTAATTCCTTAAAGCGGCTCTGTAATTGCCCGGGGTCTTTCCATACTTTGCAAAGACCTCAGACGGTGAAATCGCTGCTGGGGATCCAAAGGCCAGGAAAAGGCAAGTCTTACCCACCTGAACCAGTCCCTCGTGGGTGCCGCCTTCTTCCCCCCCCAGTCTGCTCTTCTTCAGCTCCTGGCATTTCAACTGAAAGTACGGCATTGAGGTCTATGGAGGATCCTGCTTAGAAAGCCTAATTTTCCTGCATCAGGCTAGTGGAAATGACAAGCTTGACAGCAATGTCTTTTTGTAAAGCAGAAAAAAATTTAAAACAAATACAGATACATTTTGATATATTTTGTCTTAGAATAATCTTTCGACTGGGTTGGGATTTCAGTGAAATTCCAACACAGTATTTCATAAAGATTCAATCTTAAAGGAATACTTTTTTTTTTTTTATAAAAAATAATTATTTGTGCATATGTTAAACAAGCAGGTTTGCACTGCCACAACAGCTGGTACAAACTGGGTATTAGGCATAGTATAACATTTGTGTGGCTAAGAGTACAGTGCACATTTTGTTAGTAAGAATAAGCAAGAGTAGACCATTATCCTCAATTTAAAGGGGGAGGATCTCTCTCACTAGGCATATATAAGATAATACGTAATGCAAAACATAACATAGGGGTGAGACATGGTATGGGTTTAGCATCACAATACTGCCAAGAGAGGGATAGTGGTAGGCAGTTATCAGCCTAGGTGGTGCGTTTGATTAAGGATTTGTTTATAAGCTGGTTTGGGATGGAAAGGTCAGTATGGCCTTCGACGTGGGTAAGTATCTGCCCGCCCTCCATTTAGGAGTGGGTTGGCTCCCCGGTAAGAACAGAGAAGCCTGGGTTGCCAGTGTATTTAGCATGAAGCAGGGCTTGACAAGTTTGTTTGGAATCCAGGAACCAGTTTTTTTTTATTTTTTTTTTATTTTTTTTAAGGGAGTCACCAGAACCACTACAGATTAATGTATTTGTTCTGGTGCCAATAGCCTGTCCCTGTAGCCTTTTCAATGTAAACACTGCCTTTTCAGAGAAGACTGATCCCTCGCACACTGCCCCAACCTGCCGCCTCCATACCTCCTGTGGGCGCACAGGCGGCCGGCTACAAAGCTCCCTGAGCTGGCCGCCTCTATGCTCCCGCGGATGGCCGGCTACACAGCTTCCTGAGTCGGCCACCTCCATACCTCCCAAGGCGAGTGGCTACAACACTGCCTCGCACATTGCCCCAGCCTGCCGCCTCCATGCCTCCCGCTATACAGCTTCCTGAGCGGGCGGGCAGCCGGCCGGCTCCATTATTTGTCCAGCCGGCCACTTTAGGTAAAAGGCTGACAAATCCCAGACGCCCTCACGCTGTCTGTAACAGTGGTCACCTCTTCTTGCAGAACTGCTATGTCTGAGCGGAACAGGTTGCGCAGGTTCTGCAGTATGTTCAGGATATCTCCTTTGGTAGCCAGCGCTCCCAGGTCTGAAAGTGAGAGGTTCAAAATGGAGTCTGCAGCCTCTGGTATGGGGTCCAGAGCACCCAGTGTTTCCTCCTCCGAGAATGAGCTTTGGGGATCTGGGGGTCGCACCATTTTAGGTTTAGGCCTTGACAGGAAAAGATCGCAGATTTTTCCGGAATCCTCCTCTGGATAAGTTTTTTACTTTTTATTTTGTTTCCCCATATTGTTACCGGATGTGGAAGCCAGAAAGTAGTCAGATTGTCGCCGTGTGGATCTATCAATCTGCATTTATTGCCGCTGTAACCTAGGAGCACCACAGACATGCGACTGCTCTCAGTGAGATCCAAGCCACGCCCATTTTTAAATCAATGACAACACGATACAAGTCCTGTAAACAGTAGCGCTATGGTGCAGACATTATATATATATATATATATATTATATAGTTCTTCACATTGCGAGATATAGAATAAGATGACACAGGTAGCTTCATTGCCAACATCTTCTTAAAGGGACACTAGGCACCCAGACCACTTCATCTCACTGAACTGGTCTGGGTGCAGTGTCTCTGTCCCTTTAACTCTGCAATGTAAAACATCGTAGTTTCAGATAAACTGTAATTTGTGCATTGCTGGGTAAAGACTGCCTCTACTCGCTATCTCCCATACAGCCATTAGAGGTTCTTCCTACAGTTTCACAGAGCTCAGCCCCGTGAAACAAAAATGGATGTCTTAACGCTTTGCATGAGGATGTCCAACGTTTTCAAAATCCCTATAGGAGAGGAAACGATTCAATGGTTTCCTACGTGGAAGGCCCAATGCGTGTGCGGTGCTTGCTGTGTATTACGCTTCAAGATGGTCATGATGTCAGCGGTGGCGAAGCCCCATCCAGCACGGAAGAATCCATGTGTTGGAATCAGGTAAGTGGAATTGTCTTTTTTTTTTTTTTTAAACCCTTTATTTGCTAGCAGGGGGTGGGAGGCTTGGGCATAGAGAGACACTATAGCGCTCCCTTTAAAAAAAAAAAAAAAAAAATTATATACATTTTATAGCACTAGTCGTTGGTCACCAAAAAAAAAAAAAAATTACCTCCTCTCCAAAGGAGACTTCCGTTACTTCCATCATGCCGGGTATGTGAATTTGACCTATATGTAACATACTCCTACAAGAGTTTCTCAGTTTGGGAACACTTCCAACTTGAACAATGTAACCGTTCCCTTTTCACCTCTTTCATTCAAAGTAAAGTTGTCTGTACTATGATAGGTACACTTTACCAAGTGCATAAATGGCAAAGATGCCATTGGAAAGGTTACTAGACATCTGGATATATGTTTCCTAGCAAGACATTCTTAAGCATTGCTAGGGAAGAGAGGTCAACATGATAAACTAGATACAGAAACCAAGCTCCAACACCTGCCAAGATTCAATTACACAAAACAAAAAACTTTTCCACTACAAAGAAATAAAGTACTGCCATGGGAAATTTTCTCATAAATAAATAACAGCAACTGTGTGCTAATTTAATTTAAAAATGCCCAGTAAGTAATATTGTATATCCATGCACGAAAGTTGGATGTGCCACCCTTCTGTTAATTAAAAAAATAAAAAACCACAACAAGATGGCAGGGCTCGCGAGGGACAGGTTCAGGTTATTTAAAAAAAATCGCCTTCCCCTCATCCCTCTCCCAGGCAGAGGGTCATGCAAAGGAACATCACCAGGTCTCGCTCATCCTGGAGAAACTCAGAATCACCTCTGCTGAGCATGGTTACTCAACCATGGTGATTTAAAAGGATCCTATAGTGCCAGGAAAACTGGTGCCCTCCCCCCTCCCCACTCCTGGGCCAATGTCTTTCTGCCCAGGAGACCTAATGCTTTCCTATAGGGAAAATCTGACACTGGAGGTCCGTGAGGATGTCCAGCGTCAGATAACGGACCAAAAGTCTGTTTGAATTCCGGAAGCCCTTGAGTGGCTTACATTGCTGCCTAGGAACACCTCTCACTCAGACGGCCTCTAGAGGTGCTTGCTGGGTCGTACTGCACAAGGTGATTGATTCAATGCACCTTTATGAGAAGATGCGGATTGGTACAGCACAGTGTTCTGCCGCTCATGTGCCGTAGTGTCCCAATGCAAAAAATATTGGTTTGGCTGAGATAGTAAATTCTGATGATCTCCGTCAAGGATTCAGTGCCTGTGCTGACAGACTTACAGAGTACTAGAATAAAAGTTACTGTATATACTTGTCTATAAGTTGAATGCAGTTTTTTGACCAACAATTGTGAAATATGCCATGACTTGTGGATAAGTTGAGGGTACGTGTTCCCTTATTTGTACCTTGTTTTGTCTGATACCCCCCTGCATTCAAATGGAATTGTTCCCCTTCTGTTCGGTTTACCGAATAGACTGTGTGGTCCCCCTTGTTAACACCTCATAATCACCGACCACAATGGCTGTTAACCACAAACAAGCATTCCCTGGGTGGCCACCATTCATATATACGAACACACTTGTTCAAACAAACTTGTCTCCCGAACGCAGGCAGCGGTGCATGGTCGTCTAAGGCATGGATCTCTGAGTCGGCTGAAACTTGTACCCCTGCCCACTCGCCTTCCTGTCCAAAACATAAGCAAAGCATTTTGGGAGTTGTAGTTCAGCCAACAGCTAGTGCAAAGATTGTAACTGAACTACAAATCTCAGGTCCTCCAGCTGTGAACAGAATTGAGACTGATTTTTCCCCTAACCAGTGTTACATATGCCAAGCAGTTCAGACCCTGGACTGGCTTTTATTGGCCTACTTCCTGGAGTATACAAAGCTTAGGGAAGATTATGCCATAGGAAACTTTGAAAGAAGGTATCATTATCGGTCACTATATCAATAAGCCATACATAAAGCACAGCCAAGGCAGTAGAATAGTCAGGGTATCATCAAAACTATAACAACCAAAATGTGAATCAAGTACAATAAAGAGACACTATAGCCATCAAAACAATTTTACTTTAAAAGGGATATTATAGTCACCAAAACAACTTTAGCTTAATGAAGCCGTTTTTGTGTAAAGATCATGCTCGTGCAGTCTCACTGCTCAATTCTCTGCCATGTAGGATCACTTTTGTTTCTGTTTATGCAGCCCTAGCCACACCTCCCCTGGCTGTGACTGACATGAAAGGCATGAAAACAAAATGGTTTAACCCCTTAAAGGACCAAACTAATAAAAGGGAATCATGACATGTCACACGCCATGTGTCCTTAAGGGGTTAAACAGGGTCTATAGCAAGCTATTAACAGAGCAGGAGATAAAGAAATCTAAATTAAACAATATTTGCAACCCCCCTATTCCTTGTTTCATTTCTAGTAAATTAATTTAAAAATGTATATTACCACAATTGAAACATTGTTAGCATAACAAACACGCATGGATAGAACTTTAGCATCCTAATCTGCAGTTTAAAAGTAGAGAAACCATGCAAAAAACAAAAAACATTGTACTGTTTCTCGAGGTTCTGAAATGTACAGAAACAAATGCAGCGTGGTAGAATGATAGAATGTAATGGCCAATCTGCTGTAAAAGCATAACTGGTTCTTGTGTCAGGTAAAGCACAAATTGTCAGGTGACAAGCTGCCATTTCCAGTATTTCCAGTCCTGCTCTGTTTTAACCCACAAACTTTTCACCTTGCATCCTTGCTACCACTGCAAATTATTTACAAACCCTACATCTAGAACTCATTGCCAACATTGTGGCCAGCCAGGACCACAAAGTCTTTACTCCTCGGCTATCACCAGCTTAGTTTTTAAATCCCAGCCATTGGTGACTGACTATTCTTTGTCACCCACACATCTTGATGTCACTATGCATTGCCCTCTCCACCCCCCAGTCTTGTAGTGCCAGGTACAGACTGGTTTAGTGAAGTCTAGCATTTCAACAGTCATGAGCTTATCTTTCCATAAGATTCAGCCAACCTTAAAGCCTCTACTAAACGTAACATGATGCTCAACCAATTCTGGGAAAACAGCATGTTCAACCACCAATGGCCCTTTGTGTGGGCTTCACTTCCCAGCATGCTTAGCTACCTATACAACTTTGCAGTGGGCATCACTACCCAGAATGCTGAGCCACCTGCAACACTGCCATTGGGCTTCTCTTCCCTAAGAATGCTAAGCCACCAACAACTCTATGTGGTGGGCTTCACTTCTACACAAGCTAAGCCACCTGTGACACTAATGAACTTCACTCCCAGCAAGCTCAGCCACCTGTGACTCACTCCCAGCGAGCTCAGCCACCTGTGTCCCTCTGCTATTGGCTGCACTCCCAGCAGGCTCAGCCACCTGTGACACGCTGCTATTGGCTGCACTCCCAGCAGGCTCAGCCACCTGTGACACGCTGCTATTGGCTGCACTCCCAGCAGGCGGAGCTGCGTGCTAGTTACTGGGAGCTGGCAGCTAGTTACTGGGAGCTGGCAGCTAGTTACTGGGAGCTGGCAGCTAGTTATTGGGGGCTAGTTACTGGGAGCTGGCAGCTAGTTACTGGGAGCTGGCAGCTAGTTATTGGGGGCTAGTTACTGGCAGCTGGCGGCTAGTTAGTTACTGGCAGCTGGCGGTTAGTTAGTTACTGGCAGCTGGGGGTTAGTTAGTTACTGGCAGCTGGGGGTTAGTTAGTTACTGGGAGCTGGGGGTTAGTTAGTTACTGGCAGCTGGGGGTTAGTTAGTTACTGGGAGCTGGGGGTTAGTTAGTTACTGGGAGCTGGGGGTTAGTTGCTGGGATTCTCCCCCCGAGCGCTGATATCTGAGCCCCGCACCCCCCGACACGCTGCCGGCTCTCACCATCTCCTTGATGCCCAGCACGATGGTCCCGGTGCGCACATGGCAGCAGCCGCAGCACCGAGTGCTGTACAGACGGTCCCGGGTCCGCTTCAGGTTCATGGTGCTCGGTCCGCTCCGGCCGCCGCTCTGACCAACCACTGCGACTCGCTGGTATCCGCAGCCCCGGTGACGTGATGACAGGGGGTCACGTGACGCGCAGTCAGTGGGCGCAGCCAATCATGGCGTCTGCTGCTAAGCGAAGGGCGAAGATCTGCCCGCCGCCATCTTGGAAAAGGGCAACAGAAACGCTCGTCACCGATCTCCGACTTGTATCGAATTGAAATCTGTACGGCAAAACTTTATTTACAAAAACCAGAAAAATCTAATTTTAAAAAATGAGGTCAAAATAGTCACATTAGAACAGTTCTACAAATATAGTCTGATTTCAGTTTGGCTATTTTGGCCTTAAATGTAAAATTTAGACTGTATCTAGAGCTGCCAGCAATTTAACCCCTTAAGGACACATACCATGTCTGACATGTCATGATTCCCTTAATTCCAGAAGTTTGGTCCTTAAGGGGTTAAAGGACCACTCTAGGCACCCAGACCGCTTCAGCTTAATGAAGTGGTCTGGGTGCCAGGTCCCTCTAGGATTAACCCTTTTTTTTATAAACATAGCAGTTTCAGAGAAATGTTTTCCTGGCACTATAGTAGTCCTTTAAGGTCAATTTTGCAATTTTATTTTATTTTGCTAAAATCGGGAGTTTTGTGAATAACTCGCTCATGGTTATTCACTGAGGTTAAAATTACAGAGCCTCTGGTGTTTTTATATAATCTGTATGGTCTATTAAAGAAATACTCCAAACACCATAACCACTGTAACCCTCCATAGTGTTTAGGGAGCTGGGACTGCCCCAGCACTGACCCATGGTAAGCCGCCATACTCTTTAACACAACTTACTGGGTTGACATCTGTTTAACTCACAAGTGTCCCAATATGGCAAGTATTAATGTAGCGCAGAGCGTCCATAGGAAAGCATTGAGAAACGCTTTCCTATGGACACTTTGAATGCGCGCACGGCACTTGCCGCGCATGCGCATTCGGCTCTAGTGACGTCGGATGGGGGAGGAGAGGTCACCAGCGCCGAGGGAGCCCGGCGCTGGATTAAGGTAAGTGGCTGAAGGGGTTTTAACCCCTTCAGTGCCACGGGAGGGGGACCCTGAGGGTGGGGGCACCCTCAGGGCAGTATAGTGTCAGGAAAACCGCTTTGTTTTCCTGACACTATAGTGATCCTTTAATAGAAGGGTTAATAGACAAAAAGTCTAAGCCCAGAAGTTTAAATTGCTTGTATAATTTGTAAGAAATTATTGCTGTTAGTAACTAAGATTTTCAAGGGCAACAGACGGTACGGCTCCCCTTCTTTCTAGATAAGCGCTAACAAAGCGTGTGTGTATTATATTGTGAGAAATGGTAGAGAGGGGATGGTAGCTAAGCATTTCTATGTTTGTAACTGATAACTTGTGTATGTGCGAAATTCCAAGCTCTGTGAATCAGAATCAGTTCGGACTGATTCTCTCTCTATTTGCAATAAAGACGTGGTCCTGTATTTCCACTACTCCGGCCTCTGACTGGTTAAGTGGAAAGGGCTTTTTCAGAAGGTATTGACTATTTGGCTAATTTATGTAAATAATATATTTAGTTATTTTTTTCTGGTAACATTTTAGTTACGTAAAATATTTCTCAGAACAGCCCCACCCCGGCTACGTTCCCATCCACACTCTTAAATTTAAAGGAACACTATGGCATTAGGAGTACAAATCTGTATTCCTACCGCTATAGTGCTCCTGTCCCTACTCCCCCCTCCCCCCCTCCGCCTCAGCAACGCTCTCCTCTTCCTCCCCTGGCGAGGTCATTGAGGAGACAGGGCCTCCTGTACGATGGTCCTGATAGAGGCAATTTTCATAGAGGGGCATTGGGGACCCAATGCACTTTTTTTGTTTTACTGAGTCAGTCAGTGCAGCGGAAGCACCTCCAGTGCCTGTCATACTCTCAAAAACTGCAATGTTTTACATTGTAGGGTTAAGGAAATAGGGACACTGCGCCCAGACCATTTCATTGAGATGACGTGTCAGGGTGACTATGGTTATCCTTTAACCCCTTAAGGACCAAACTTCTGGAATAAAAGGGAATCATGACATGTCACACATGTCATGTGTCCTTAAGGGGTTAAACTGTCCCTCTTTGTCCATTTGAAATGTTGGGAGGAATGTATTTTCACTGCATCTGGTCTACAGAAATAGATTTTACTGGACACTCCACTGCCAAAAAAAATAAAAAAATCACTATTTGGTAGATATATATCAAATGAACCTTACATGCATTTAATTATGCACATTTCCATTGGGGTTATATCTAAAAACAGCTCTTAATCCCTCCCCTCCTAACCCTGCCCAGACTTTCTGTGGTTGTCCAATCACAGTCTTCCCAATGCAGCTACAGTGGAACCTCAGAACTTAAACTTAATCCGTTGCAGAAGGCTGTTTGAAAATTTTCCATAAGAATTAATGTAAATTAGATTAATCCGTTCCAGACCCCCAACAGCCTTTAAGCCTGTCCCATCCAGGACCCCACTCATTGGCTGAGAGTGCTTAAGCTGCTGTTCTCAGCCAGTGAGTGTGGCTCTCCCAGATTTTCTTAAAAGAGAAGGCAGGATAGATGGGCTGCAATAGTAAAAAAAAAAAAAAAAAAGGATTTAAAGGATTAAAAGTATATTTGGGCAAGTCTCATTTTAGTGAATATCCCTGTGTGTGTTTACATTTTCACAGAGTAATATATTTTTCTTTCAACTGTGTCATCTCAAAAATGAAAGCAGACAGGCATGTCCTTCCTCCACAGTCTCAGTCAGACTTCACCAAACAGAAAATAGTAGGGAAACGAAAGTTGAATTGCAAAATTCGAGTTAAAATTATTACACTTTCCAAATCAACCATATTAGCATAAATTCTGAAGTTCAGGTTTAAAGGGACACTATAGTCACCCAGACCACTTCAGCTCAATGAAGTGATCTGGGTGGCAGGTCCTCCAGGTTTTAACCCTGCAACTGTAAACATAGCTGTTTCACAGAGACTGCTATGTTTACATTGCAGGGTTAATCCAGCCTCTAGTGGCTGTCTTCCTGACAGCCGCTAGAGGCGCTTCTGTGACGCTGGATGCGACATTCGCATCCAGAGTTCAGAACGTCCATAGGAAAGCATTGAGAAATGCTTTCCTGTGGACTGTTTGAATGCACGCCTGGCTCTTGCCACGCATGCGCATTCCGCTCCACTCGGGAGTTGACGTCGGCGGGGGAGGAGAGGTCGAGACGCCTCCTGGTTTTTGTTGCAAAAAAAAAGTCTAATTTATTGGCATTGTAAGGTCTACTGATAAGTGTGTTAGAATAATAAATCTTTGATGATTATATCTGCAGTTACATATCGTCCTTTATTGATGAGTAGAGATCCACCAGGTTTTAAACAGAGCATGGCCTCTCATGGGGTTGAGGGAATAGGGCCCAACAAATTGGAGGGGGGAGCAACCCACCATCTTTAAACTTCACCATCTGTCACTGTGTTTTGTGAATTAAGCATGCACACATGTGGTAAATTGAAAAACAAATTGCAAAAATTAGGTAAAAAGACTAGGTTTGGAAAATAAAGTTTTTTCGTCAGTGCAATTATTTTGGCCTAACCTTTGCTTTACATTCACCTTAACTCACTTTTTGTTGTATAAATTCTAGTGTTGTGTGATGGTATGCAGAGGAAAGTCACTGAACATAGTGTGTGACTTAAACACACGTACTGTTTTCCAACGTACTTCGTAAAGAAAAAAATGTCACCATCACTTTAAGTACAATCAAATGCATACCTCCCAAGTGTCCCTGTTTAGGATGGACAGTCCCTATGTTGGTTGTTCTAAAAGTTTTTTAAACACTCCTTTTATTTTCTAATATTTTAGCTTCTATGCTTTGTCTGCCAAGGAGGGCAAAATATGAAAATTTCTTAACTCTTTCAGTGCCTCACACATAAGACATTTGTTCGTATGGCGCTGGTAGAGAGAATTCTGAACGCACATGTGCCATACAGATTTTCATTGTTAGATGCCGGGATGCATATGCACATACCCAAGGCACTGAGGAGGGCATGAGCCCCTGAAATACAGCGGCAGTAAGTAAACTGCTCTGTTTACTCCAATAAACATTGAAATAATATTTACTGGGGTAATGGAACAGTCACTTCTCTGAAATTTAACAGTTCCCCTTTATAAAAATAACAAGAATAAGTGATTTAGGTAAACTCGAAAAATGTTGTGGCAGCTGACATTTAATGTGAATAAGTACAAGATAATGCATGTTGGATGTAAAAACCCAAGGGCAGATTACAGAATATTGGATAGAGTCCTAACCTCAACATCTGAGGAAAGGGATTTAGGGGTAATTATTTCAGATGACTTAAAGGTAGGCAGACAATGTAATAGAGCAGCAGGGAATGCTATCAGAATGCTTGGTTGAATAGGGAGAGGTATTAGCAGTAGAAAGAGGGAAGTGCTCATGCCATTGAACAGAACACTGGTGAGACCTCACTTGGAGTATTGTACGCAGTACTGGAGAGTGGAGACTGTAGCTCCAGAAGGATATTGATACTTTAGAGAGAGTTCAGAGAAGGGCTACTAAACTGGTTCATGGATTGCAGGACAAAACTTACAAGGAAAGGTTAAAGGAACTTAACATGTATAGCTTGGAGAAAAGACGAGATGGGGGGATATGATAGAAACTCGTTTTCCTAGTACTATATAGTCCTTAGGTCACCCCCTCCTTCAGGGCCCCCCTCCCTCGGTTCTGAAAGCGCTGGTGACCTTTCCTCCCCCTGCGACTTCAGCTCCCGAGTGGAGCCGAATGCGCATAAGCGGCCAGAGCGGCGTATGCATTCAAACCGCCCACAGGAAAGCATTACTCAATGCTTTCCTATGAACGTTCTGCATGCTCAATGCGATTTTCACATTGAGCGTCGCGGAAGCACCTCTAGCGGCTGTCAGGAAGACAGCCACTAGAGGCTGGACTAACCCTGCAATGTAAACATAGCAGTTTCTCTGAAGCTGCTATATTTACAGCTGAAGGGTTAAAACATTTGGGACCTGGCACCCAGACCATTTATTTGAGCTGAAGTGGTCTGGGTGACTATAGTGGTCCTTTAAATACAT